GTGCGTTGATTGTCGGTCCGCTTTTCGGGATCAGCTCTTAGCCTCATGCGCCCAATGAGACAAGCGGAACGTGGACGGGACAGCACCTTGTTGGCCGGGGATGTCCAGCTTGGGCGGGCGGTAGCTGTCCAATGAAGTGCGAAGATTTCTCCCATTGTCGAGAGGAAGCCCCAGGTACCCCGCTCCTACGTCCACCGAACGGGATTTTTTTAATCGGTAAACCGCCCCTCGCCGTGTTTATTACTGGAGTGACCTCTCCAGGAGCGGGTATGGATAAAAAAGGAAGTCAGGAGGTGCCCAAGCAGCTGGCCTTGTGAGACTGATCTTCATTTGGCTTCTACCCCTTGACCCTTCAGGCATGATTGGATGTGCGGCTGAGGAGCCATCCTGTATAGTTCGTAGGGTCATTGAGGCGCGCAAGCCATCACACCACGCCACGGTGCAGTCTCGTCGTGACAGGTTGCATGGAAGTACAGCATAAGAGACGCCTCCAACATACATATTAGTTGAAGAGGTTTCACTTCTAGTTTTAATGGTGTCTTCTGCTTGGTTACGTGTTGCATAATAATCTTCCCGCTCTCTTCAGAGACTCGTAAAAACTCACAGGCAACATGAACGCTCTCCGCAGTAGCATTCTCAATCAAACTGCCAATTTAAACGACTTGTCGACACGTTTAAAAGGACGCTATCCAATTCCCGAGTGGGAAAGCGCAAAGAAAAAATTTTTACAGAAAGTTCTACTCATACATCGCACCAGACAAAACCTCATCGTCCGTCTTCTGAACGGGCCTCATTGGGACGTACTATGATGCGTATATGACAACAGACGTGTTTTGCTTGTACGCTCGAGACCATCCATGTGTGTTGTATCCAAAAGACCCGCATTCAAGACTTAAACTGCCTTATCCGACTGACGTACCCATCCAACCCATATGCAGTTTTACTTACCATCTCCGTAAGGCTGCGGCTTTCAGTTTTGCTGGAGTTAGGGAGAATCTCAGTAAGAGAGCTGAAGCCGCGCTCCTCGATTAGATCCCAGTCGACAGCAGGTTTTGCGCAGCGAGAATGAGGTTCGTGCAAAGTAAGCAGTCGTCGTCCCGACAGATGAAGCTTGTTTGTCGCGTCGGTGTACACCCCAACGGACTGCAGTCCAGATGCAGTTAAAGACCTCTTGCGTAAAGCGAACAGGGCTGATATATGATTTTAGCAGGTGATATGAATGCTAGAGTAGGCCGACTGACTTCGCGTGGGGCGCATCTGGAAGGTCCTATAGGACTAGATTCCTGTGGCACGGAAAACGGGGAACGGCTGTTGGCTCTGTGTTCTGACCACCGCCTGTTCCTCGCTAATACGAACTTCAGACGTTCCAACTACCGGTAAACCACTTGGCGTCCGCCCTCCTCGAGACAGTGACGAACGCAAATCGACCACATCGCTATAAGCCATAAACGGTGGAGCTACCAACAAGATGGCCGATCGTACTAAAGCACTTTTCTTGAATCCGACCACTCAACAATTTGCGCCAGGCTGTCCATGTGCTTCGGTGTGCGTTCTAAACGCATGACAAAACGGCGGTTAGGCTGTGATCAGCCATCCGAAGCAGCTCGTCTAACCGAATTTCAAAATGCGCTAGCCAAAAGGCTAGAAAAACCAAACACCCGATGACAGTAACCAACATTGGTCGCTTATCAAGAATGCTCTGCGTTCCGCCGGCTTAGTTAGTTGTGGTTTGAC